CGTCCATCTGTTGCCTCAAAATTGCTGTCGAAACATTTGTGAGGCTTGGTATTGTATGAGATGACCCTCCCAAGAATTGGTTTCTACTGGCTCCAGACCCCTGTAATGGCGATGATGCGTTCACCAAAGGTTCTGAAAAAGTGGAAGCAGCGTTCATAAGGCTAGCCATTTCAGTAGTTGGCATGCCATATGGCTGCTCTCGATCCATCCAGGTTGTCAAAAATCCTGGGGGCACAAATGGATGAGATCCTAGATTTGCCCTTGGTGGAGGCGTTCCTAATGGACCTACATACGAAAGTAAGGGTCCAGTTTGATTTGTGGTTAGCGTCGGTATTGATCCAACGGAAGTTGAGATATTCCCTTCGACGGCGGTAGTAACCATTGTTCCAGTAATTGGTGGAGGTATTTCTCCATGATTTGGCTCGCTAGCCATACCACTCTCGCTATTTTTCTTCCTAACAGTATACTCGTTAGTTACTCTACCACTTCTTAATAACATGCAACGTTATAACTGTACAGAAGAAATGCAATAACATAAACAAGATATTTAATAAAAATTAGCAAGGTTCCACCAGGTGTGCCAATTTGTTTACCGTGGTTTTTGTTGAACAACCGCTGATCCTCCAAAAAAGGAAAGTTCTTTTGGTAACTCACGGGATCGATCAGATTGATCCCAGAACATATGCTAATTTTTTATGTAAGACAAGAAATCAGGAAGAACGCACGTTCGACCAGAGAAAAGATACTTGAGATTTTGGAAAAGTAGACAGAAATGTAGAAATGTAGGTAAAGATGCAAGAAAGATAACTTTGCAAAATAAGATTAAAGCAATGTAAAAGACTTTCATTAATAAAAAGAGGTGTTTCCAACGTACATTTCTCAGTTTTATCCTTTCTCACACAATGGTTACTTAGACAATATTTGAGTAACTAGCACGATAGGTTGAACACCACTAAAAACTACACAGATTTCCTAATTTATACTAAAAACTAAGTAACCGTCGAGGAACGACTTTGCGCTAAGATGAAGACAAGTGTCTTCTGCATGTCCCTCGACCTTTAGCTTCCAGCCACGTTGCTTCTTCTTAGCCGCTAGCGAAACTGTCTTTCCCTCTAATAGTTCAAATTCAAATGTCCCTCGTATTATGTGTCAAAGCGAGGGTATTTTCTCTTAGTCGAAGGTCATAAGTCATCTTCAGTCGAAACCTTGAAAGTGAGCCCTGGTCGAAGGCTCAAATACAACTTAGATCTTTTCTCTAAGTTATTTCATATGTCGAAACATTCTTGGCTTGATTTATTCCAGTTTTTTGGTCTAAAAGACCAAATATAGTAAGTGTCGAATTCGGGAGCCAACAACAACCAAGTTCATAATTTCGCTTACCTGGCACAAGAATACTACGGGGAAACTAGCCTACATACTAACGAAAGGATGAATATCCCGGTCAAGTTCATGAACCTACTAACCAAAACGCATGAGTATCACGGGCAAGATCATGAATCATATGCCTAAACTTATGAATGTCTCGGGCACAACCATGAATCAGGCGCCTAGCGCGCTTAAATCCACCGGGCATAATCTCCAGATACAAGTTTCTACTAGCAAAACGTCGTCAAAACTATCTACAACGCGGGAAATCAAAGGGAAATGATACTTACTTGGAAGAAGATGTAAAGAACGACGGTGGTGGAAGTAATCGGACGGCGAACGGCGCGGCGGTCTCAATGACGTTATAGGAACTCACGACAGTAAAAACAGAGAAAATAGGAGAAGCGTGAAGAGGTGAAATGAACTATGGGCCCTGGGATCCTATTTATAGAGAAGACATGGAATATGAAACGTCGCACTGGGGAACCACAAACCGCCCCCGTCCTCAACGCCTACTCACCTAGACAATGATGGTCCTATTCACTAGGGCGACATTGCAATTTCCAAGGACTACACCACGTGACCAACAAATGCAACTGACGCATCCCCGCGAGCAATCCTCGAGCACCCCTCGACATGGAAAATCCCGGTATCGGGCACGAGGTCCCTGCGAAAGAGCAAACTGGGATCAAGTCATAACTCCTGTACCAGGAACAACCACTTGGGGGGCTCTTGTTCTGGACTGGACCTGCCCTTGGCCAAAATCACAAGTAAGGCCCAATCCAAATCGTGCTCGAGCTATGCTGGGAACCAGATCCCTCGAGCATACCCAGTCACGGGCTATAGGACTAATACGGCTATGCCCGTCGCTGACTGCGACGAGAGGCGTCCCCGACCAAGGACATCCCAACTCGAGCCTTGCTCGAGCATCCTCCCCGTCGGGCAGACTCTCAGTCCCTCCAGATGTTTCGGAGTCCTTAGAGCTCCGGGAAGATCGCGTCTTTGTTCTTCCTTATTCTTCGCAGAGCATCATCCAGGAAGAGGACCACGTGCAGGTCCCCACTACTCACGTAGAACCTGGCAGTCCCTTTTTTGGGCCGATTTTGATCGGCCCAATAAAGGGACCTTGGCCTAGCGCTAGGGGCTATAAATACCTCTATTTCAAGAGGGTCATGTATTCATTCATTACGCACCTATATACAATTCACCTGCTCATTCCATCTCTCACTTTATCATCGGAGTGTCTTGCAGGTACCCCCCCATCTCTTTCAAATCCAGTTCGAACCAGCTGTGACGGTCCAATTCTGATCAGGTAAGATAAGAAGCCTTGACCTACCTTGAGATCTTGTGACCTCAACTATTATTTTGTCTAGAGTTCTTGGGGTTTACCTTAAGATATTGGGTTGTTTATTTGCTTTATGTGCATGTAATTTTGATTACATGTTATGTCTGTGATCGAGAATTCATCTGTATACAACCATTACTCTGCCTAATTTTTGTGAAGACTTAATGCAAAGGATGAAAATTCTACATTGACTCATTGTGTCAAGTGTTGGCTTCTTGTTGGTTAGATGGTTCTTTTCCCTAGCTTTTACCTTGTGCTTTATGATAGTCCCTTCATTTCCTCCTATCTGCTTTAGGTCCATGCATTTTCACAAATATTTTCTTAATCAAACCTTAAACAACTTAATAATACTTTGACATTTTTTTTGTGAGAAGGCTAAAAGTCAATCAATCTCATTCAAACTATTTTTTCCACTTTGGCTTTTTATTTTAAAAATTTTCTCAAAAGATTAGACTTTTATCAATCCTTGTAGTGATGCGAACCACTATACTTCTACGATATGTAGTGAAGTGAGATATTTTCAACTTGAATGTTGAGCGAGGCTTTGTTGATTTTAAAATCCAAGTCATATCCTCCACTTTGAGATGACACAAATTCTCTTTTCTCATAATCATGGGTAGTAAGTATGTCCTTCCATTCGGATAAGACGATGATGTTTCATCTCTTAAAATCAACCAACACACTTGTGTTTTAAAAATTTTAAAGGTGAACTACGAGTACCCTGATCCACTATTGTACGGAAGGTGGTACATAAGCACTAAAGGTTCGCAACCGTGGCGGGTGCAAAAATTATAAAAAAAATACTGCTTTTCCTATCTCCACCGTCTATTTTTTTATATACAACATTTTATAGCCAAAATACACAGATTTTCAAAGAGGTTCCTGCGGAGTACCGTAGATGTTTAGGGTACTAATACCTTCCATTTGCATAACCAACCCCCGAACTTAGATTCTCTCCCCCTCTTTTAGGGTTATTCCCTCTTTTCTCATTCATTTGAAAATAATAAAGCGCGGTGACGATTTTTATTTAATATGTGTGAATTTAATGACTTAGTCTCAACATTTCTAAGAGGTAAACACCTATATACATGTATAACTCAATAAAAATTCTTTTAATAAAATCGTACTAATCCAAACAGTATTAGTTTTAGTTTGGTTCAATTTTATTTATAAAAGCTAACTAAATCAAATTGAACCACATGTGTTTTCCTCTTATAATTTGGATGATTTTTAACATAAAAACCGTTCAAATTACACCGCGAACACGCTAACAACTAATTGAGACAAAATATAATACAACTATTATATTTTGTCTCTTATCCTATGCATCACACTCTTTAAATTTTATTTATTGTTCATTTAATTTTTTATTTTTTTAATTATCACAAAAAAAATCTTCTTTTATTTTTAGTCAATAATAAAATCAAATTTATTTAATTATTTTTGAACTTTTGAACTTTTGAACTTTTGAACTTTTAAATTGTTTTTTTCAAATATATTTTTAATATCATAAAAGTTTATTTAGTAAAATTTATACTTTTTTACAAATGTCAAAAATTTAAATTAAAATACCAAAATTGAATAGAAAAATCAACTTTTAATTTACAGATTAAACATGTTTTTAGTCCCTAAAAGTTATCAATTTTTGTTTTTTATCCCTATAAAAAACATGACATATTTTAGTCCCTACAAAATTATTATGAATGCAGTTTTAGTCATTGTTGTTAAAGTGATTTATATTTTTGAATGATTATTTTACAGACATGCTTATAATGTTATAAAAAGTTCATTGAAAAAAATTTTAAAATTTAATTTCTAAATCGAGATTTTCATTAATATTTTTTGAAATTTAAAAAATTCATATTTAATTCATCTCATTTTAAAAATTCTAAAATTTGATAAAAAAATATTTAGTAATATTCTAAACACATATAAAAAAAAAATAATTCAAAAATTTAAAAATTTAAAAATAAGAAATTAAAATTGCATAAATAAAAATATTGTTGAAAACAAAATATGTAATTTTTTAATAAAAACCATAAATAAGATTTAAGATATTTATATCTCTTAATTTAATTTTATACCAATAAAGTTTTTATAATATTAACGACTCCCATATCACTGAAAAATACATAAACATTTAATCTATTATAAACAAAATTATGGCCGGCCACTAGTTAAGTCTCGAACTGAGTGCCCACTCCCTGAGGTGGTGATACCTTCCTGTTCTTATGATTTTTCTTTCCTCGCGGCTCCTTTGAATATCCTTAGCCTAAGACTTACCATAAACATGTCTAATCCGAACCTAGATTCCCATGACTCGACCCGAATACAAGATCCGAATACCAATAGCAACGCCGACGCTCAGGTTCCGCTTCGGAACCTATCCCTGGTTCGGACCAGAATCGATTCTCTACGAACATTTCTCTCCCAATCCATCAACGCCAACACTCCCTTCACCAACGATCAAATAACCGTCGTCTCAAACCAGATCGCCTCCGCTATCAACAACACCATAGTCAACGCCGCCGCCCTAGTCTCTTACTCTCAAAATCTCACCGTTCCCGCACCCTCCCAGATGCTCGATTCGAAAATCGAACCACCTGACAGCAACTATCTCACCCTCGATGACTCCGACTCCGAAATCTTGGAGCTCGACGCCGTGGAATTGCTCGCGGAACATCACCATTTCTGCGAGATTTGCGGGAAAGGCTTCAAGCGCGACGCGAATCTCCGGATGCACATGAGAGCGCACGGGAACAAATTCAAGACACCTGAAGCGTTGGCGAAGCCTTTGGACGCCGCCGCACGCCGCGGTTCGAGGCTGTTCTCATGTCCGTTCGAAGGGTGTAACAGAAACAAGAAGCATAGAAAATTCAAGGCGTTGAAATCTGTGATTTGTCTTAAGAATCATTTCAAGAGGAGTCATTGTCCGAAGATGTATTCGTGTGATCGGTGTCATAAGAACAAGTATTCGGTGCTTTCGGATTTGAAGAGCCATATGAGACAGTGTGGGGAGTGTAGGTGGAAGTGTTCATGTGGGACCACGTTTTCTAGGAAGGATAAGTTGTTTGGACATATTGGTCAGTTTGAGGGTCACATGCCTGCTGTTGTATTGGAAGACGAGGAAGAGAAAGGGAAACAAGTTGTGGTGGAGGAGAGTGAAGATCCTATGGATATGGATGAAGAGTTCTTTGATGATTTTGGGTTTATTGATGAGTATTGTTTAAGAGAAGTTTTGGGGTTTTCTAATAGCTAGCTAGTTTCATAGAATGGTTTCTTGTGGTTCGGACATTAGGACTCTTCTATTGGGATATTTGTATCTAGGTCTTAGTTAGCTTTTGGTTCTACCAGTACCATGGACAAAATTGATTTTCATCGACTATCTCTCTATGTTAGCGTTGGATTTGTCTATCACATCGAGTTTCATCGGTTTGCCAATTATAGATTGGGTATGATCATACTGAATAAGGCATGTGATGAGACGCAATAGAAGGATTTTAGACTCTTGTTCATTAAGGGTCCATTTTGTAATAAATGATTAGTAATTTTAGTAAAAAGCGAGTTTAAAGCATGTTGTCTAATTTTGTTAAACATATATGGAGCCATCTCAATAGCTTGCACCCATAGTTATTGTATTTATTGGATTCTTTAAATGAAATCTTTTTATTTTTTATTGAATTCGTTTATTTGGTAGGGATTCTTGAAAATCAATATTAAAATTATTTGGTAATGTCTTCGTGTTATTTTCTAAATGCTCATAAGAAAAATTATAGTTTTTACCGTATGTGGAATGTTCATTTTCAACAATCATGTTGTGTAATACACACGTCTATTATACGGTCGAGTGCATCTAAGTGCCAAGATCGAGTCGGTTACGTATGATTGCAAATCGCAATTGAAAAACCCTAAATGCACGTTTCAAATCCTTTCTTGCTCCTTCTTGATGTTGGGCAAACAATTTTCTCTTATCGCATTGCGACGTTGTTACACTTGGATTTTTAGCTAGAAGAAAGTCAATAAAGAATGTCAAAGTGAAAAGACATTTGTTATTTAGAAGACATTAATGAAGTGTTTTAAATAACATTGATGACGAAGTATCAACAAAACATCTATCACGGTGTCGACGAAAGGAAACATGGTTTTCATTGTTTTGAGGAGTCTCAAGAAGAGATCCACAAGATTAGGATCATTTGGAAATATGTCTAGAATCTTGAAAATGGCAGTCAACAGGACCTCCACTACAGCCAACATACCAATCGGCTGAACCACGAAAGTTAAGGACTTAGTATTTCTACAAATTCTTGGTAAGTAACATCGACATCACGTTGAAGCAGTTATTATCAGAAGTTTATGGAGAAGTTGAAGCTGAAGATGGTTGATCTTAACCTTTTTGAAGCTGTCAACAACAACCTGCCCGTTCTTCCTGAACTTCAAAGTTTGGTGTCAACACTAAGTCGATCAGAGGCCCCGTCTTTGTTTTCCATTTTTTTCCTGGATTTAGAAATCCCCCTGGACCATGCCACCTTAGTTGCTAAACTCAAAAAGGAGTCTGCTAGTATCGTCGAAGAGAAGTCTGGCGTACTCTCTCGCCAACAGGACGCAGTGTCCCAATCCAAGCAAATGTTAACTTATTGGAGGCCAAAGCTAAACACAGACACTTTAACCTCTCATGACAATGATATCCTGACATGGACTCATAAAAACATTTGATTGCAGGATGTTATTGAGGAGGCAAAGAGAAAAAAGGATGCCATAAATACCTGTGGTTTGGAATGCCTTGAACAATAAAAGGATGCTCAGGCCTGTTTAGGTATTGAACAGGCAACAACCACACATATGTTGGAGAAGGAAGTAGAGCGATTGAAGGCCAAAGACCTTTACATTGTTCGAAGGCTTGAATGCGTGAAGACCCGCTTTGACGACATGAAGCGAGAGTTAGGACCCTATCTTTTATGTTCCTTTTGTAATAGCATTTCCATTTTTTACATCTTGTGTTTGTTGCCCTTCTTTGACAATTTTTGTAATATTGTCATTTTGGCCAGATTAATGTTATTCTGAATGTTATTTTTCTGCTATTATCCTGATTCATTGCATCATGGGCCTATAACTTTTCAAGTATTTCTCATTTATTTTTAGCGTTCAATTGATAGGCCCTAACTCCTTAATTTCATACACATTATTGAGAAACACTTGTTTAACCTTGAAAGGTCATTCCTGTCGGCGAGAAAAAAAATCCAGAATAAGCTATTGATTAGCTTATCTCAACAAATAAGAAAGAGTCACCACCAAACTTTATTATTTCCAAAGAAATGAGAAAAGATCGAACAAAACCGAAAATAAAAGAGAGATAAAGGGTACGGGGGTTAGTTATACAAATGGAAGGTATTAACACCCTAAACATCTACGGTACTGTTGGCTGAAGATTTTGATAATATTATTAAAAGCCAAGTAAGTTGAACGTTTCGATCGAAATGAAACAAAGCGTCATGTTTCGAAGTAGCAGAAGCAGTGTTTCGAATAAGCATATCAAAGCTTGGAGCTTCGAGTGGCAATTGTGGGAACATATCTAAAGAAGTCTCGAAATGACAACAAGGCTGTGTCTGAGAAGTACGTTCGAAGCGGAGAAATACCAAAACATTTGAAATTCAAATGGAAGCGGGACATTCGAAGTTTGAAATTTATGTGCTGGAGCATTTGGAGACACGTGGAAACAAGAGAGAGGCATTGTTCTGCATGTTCTGAACGTGGCATGATCTTATAGCAAGACCGTTATGGTCGAAGTAGTATAAATAGAAGTCTTAGTATTAGGATTTCGTGTGTCATATCTATTGTACTAAATACTCAGTAAACATTCAAATTACCACATGGCTAGGGAAACGAATGCAAGAGCAATGTACGTATGATAGCACCACATGTTTATGATTTAATGAAAACCTTTTATCATTTCCAGCACTTTCCTTTATCTTTCTGCCAAATACCATTTACAAGTTTTCTCATTTAAAGTCTTTTTATTTCGAAATCTTTTCATTGAAGCCTTACATTTTAATGCTTTCTTTACATTTCAAACACTTTACATTTCAGAAAACTGTCATACTTTTCATGCCTTTATCTTCAAGTTTTGTCTTTCGAAAGCCTATTTTTACTTAAAGTCATTTACAGATTTCTTGCATTAAACGCTTTCTTCATATTTCGAATCTTTTACGTTCCAGAGCATCTTTTACATTAACTGTTTTTATAATTCGAAGCCATTTAATTGCCTTTTATGCAATTTTACATGTCTTTACAATTAACATTTATTCATGCAAGTTAGTTTCACGCACATACATTTTGATTACACCTTTAGATCTGTAAGGGAGAAATCGAAATAAGTCAAACACCTACACAATACTCAAATACCAACCATGAATATCTGTTCGATCATGAGAGTTACCCTAATGACCAAGGAATCCTAGGATCAATCTAGTCGATCCTGTGAGTTACCAGAGAAATTGAATAACAGTCAGTAAGTTTATTCGATAGTTTGGAAGACTAGCGGTTGTTTACCAGAAATCACTGGAAACAAATTGGCACACCCGGTGGGACCAATAATTGGACATTAGAAATAAAGATTGTTGAGACATAACCATTATAAAAACGTTGGGACATAAGAAGTTTGCTGTTTTATGAACCTAAGAAGTGGTAAGATAACCAACAGCAACCAAACCTTATCCAGAAGAAAACGTTTGAACAAGATGTCTAGTTCTGACAATCAACAAGGGGAACAAAATGCCCCACATACAACAGGCACTAATGTGTCCACTTCGATGGGAACATCTAATGTGATCCCTTCGAATGCACAGTCTGTTGCATCTTCAACCAGTAATATAGCCACCAATGGAGTAAGTGGCATATCAACTAATAGTTCGATCTTAGGAAATACTGGAACCATTGGTTACCCTGGGGGATTCGTTCCACCATCAGGGACACAATCCCATTTCGCCACTCCACTAACTAGACCACCCGGTTTCGATGGTAATAGAACCAGAAATTCCTCTTATGGAATGCCAACTTCCTTTATGGCAGGTTTACACAATTCCACATCGAATTCATCACCACAATTAGGGTCTGGGTCTGGGGCGAATCAATTTATGACAAATAACCAAGGGTCAGTGGGTTATAGCACAATGCCTATTTTAACCACAGAAAACCAGTTGGCTTTTAGGCAATTGATGGATGACAGTAACCATAATATGATAGGGGTGTTAGCACAAACTATGCAGGAAATATTTGCCCTAATAGTACAAAATGTGACTGTGACAAACAGGGAAAACGCTGACAACATGAGTCGAATAGCAGATTTCTTTGCTCCCCCAGAAAGGCGTAGGCAGAATCAGGCGGGATTTCGAGAAAACATGCCTGTTATGGAACAAGTTGCTAACGACCCAATTTATAGACCACCTAGGGAAGAAGTTAACTTGGGGGCCAGGGCACCAAGGTTAGAAGCCCCAATAATCCCAGGCCCATAAAGAGAAATTATGGAACCAGGAGCAAGGGTCGAAAGGCTAGAAGCCCCAGAGTTTCGAGAAGAACAACCTAGGGGGATTGTCATGGTTGGTCGAAATCAAGATGCTGATGTTGTCGTTCATAGAATTCGAAACGATAACATCTTGGCAGAAAACAATCTGACCACCATGATAGAGAGAGTCATGGCCCAGAATGGCCTCAACACAGGAATGAGAAGGCCAAATTATGCTTCTCCTATATTAGATTGCATAATGCATACTGATTTACCAAGGGGATACAAAGTCCCTAAATTTACAAAGTTCGCTGGGGATACCAATGAGTCAATAGTCGAACACATAGCCAGATATCTAACCGAAGCGGGAGATATAGCCAATAATGAAGATCTTAGGATCAAATATTTCCCAAGTTCCTTGACTAAAAACGCCTTCACATGGTTTACCACTTTGCCTCCTGGGTCCATTGATACTTGGGCTCTTTTGGAGAGATTATTCCATGAACAATTTTACATGGGACAGTCGAAAATAAGCTTGAAGGAATTAGCCAGTGTCAAGAGAAAGTTCACCGAACCCATAGATGATTATCTGAATAGATTTAGGCTTTTGAAATCCAGATGTTACACAGTAGTGCCTGAACATGAGTTAGTCGAAATGGCCGTTGGTGGTTTGGATTACTCTATTCGAAAGAAACTAGACACTCAATATTTGAGGGACATGCCTCAGTTAGCCGATAGGGTTCGACAGGTCGAAAGGCTAA